CAGAGCAGGTGTGCAATGCGGTATCTGCTTCATATACGACTCGTTCGTATACATCGCCTGCGTTAACATCTGCGACAGCTCCATTGCGTGAATCGCCGACGATAACCACCCGTTGCTGAATTTTTATTATTATTATTATTTATATTATTTATTATTACATATTATTTATTATCATATATATTATTTATTATTATTTATATCATTTAAATTAATAATAAAAACAACTAAACGCACCTCGACAATACATCCACACACGCCTGCACCAGTCTAATCGCCTTCAGCACCACCAATTCCGTGTCTTTATTCAATTCCGCTGACAACTGAATTCGCGACAGATGCGCGTTCATTAGCAAATTTACCTGAAATTAATTTTTTCATTTCTCAAAAAAATTATTTCAGGTTAAAAAATTATTATTTACTTTTATAATTACTACAATTATTATAATTAATTATCATCAATACCAATCTAAAACTTTCATTTTCACATCTCCCCGCCCCTTTTGGCATTACGCTACCCTACATTTTCCCATTTCTGCCCCAGTAACCTAATATTAATACCAGTAAACAAAACTGTAAAAATAATAATAAATAATAAAAAGTAATAAAAAATACTAAAAAGTAATCCCACCTTCACGTGCGGGTCTGAAAACTTATGGAATTTGTGCTGCGAGGAAAGTTTATCGGCCAGCTGTTTCAGCACAATATCCTCCTTGTACCGGATCGGCATCGACTCAAACTCGCTCGCGTTCGATATTATCTCGATCAGCGTGCGCAACTTCGTCTTGGCCGTCAACGACATACTGAACACCTCTGAAATTTCCACATTTTCATTATTACCAAAATACAATCGTCCACGACCAATCTGCCAATTACTCGTGGGCGGAGCTTACTTTAACCAATCTAACCAATCACCTCTCCGAATACCACTACTACAGCCCCGCCCACCTCCTAAGCTCCGCCCATAATCCCCCCTCTCACTACAATAACAACTCCCTCTTCTCACTACAATAACAACGCAACAATATACATATATAACTATAAATAATATAAATATATAATATAATATATATAATATAAATAACTATGAATATAATAATAATAATAATAATATATAATATATAATATAAATAACTATATAATATAAATGTAAATAAATAATATAAAAATAAACACTAAAAACAATAACAATAAAACTAAAAAACTGACCAATCGTCGTATAACTAATGTAATAATACGCTGCAATCATGCCCAAATTCAGAGGGTGTGTCTCGATATCATTCTTTATCGTAATACACTTCGAATTCTCCAGATCCTTCAGCGTGTTCTCCACCAGCTCAGATAGACTGTCCGATAGGTGACGGTGCGTTACGCCTGAAATTTATTATTATTATAAATAATAATAAATAACAACAATATATACAATAATAAATAATAATAATAAATAATAAATAACAATAAATAATAAAAATAAATCACCCACCCTGCAAGTTATAGTAATTCGGGTTCTGCGTCATTCGACGATAGAGCAGTGTCCATGTCAAATACTGCAATTACCATCATTACTTACTTTATAATAACAACAAAAACAATAACAACCAATACCAAAAATGACCTGAAATCAAAGAATAACCCCCAAAAATGACCTGAAATTAAAAAATATCACCCAAAATCACTCACATCGATCGCGTCCTGTTTGTTTTCGATGGTTTTGGTGACTATTTCAGCGTTGAAGTGGTCGTGCAGGCAGTGGTCGAGATGCGATTCGACCGGTAATGGCTCGTAGAGGAATTTTTTGAAGAAGTCTTTCTTGCACGATTGACACATCAACACGCATTTGGCTGAATTATTTTTATTATATATTATTTATTATTATTGTATATTATTTATATTTTTATTATTTATTTTACATTATTAATCATATTTTATAAAGTATTTTTTACAAAATACCCCTTAAAAGTATTTTTACAAAATTTTTCTTAAAAAGTATTTTACAAAATTTTCTTTAAAAGTATTTTTATAAAATATTTCTTATAAAGTATTTTACAAAGTATTTCTTAAAAAGTATTTTTATAAAGTACATTACTATTGACGTCTTTAAAAATATTTTGGTACTATACTTAATAGTATAATGAATATAATAATAATAAATATAACAACAATAATAATAAATAACAATAATAGATATAATAATAAATATAACAATAATAAATATAATAATAATAAAAATAATAATAAATAAACCCCCACCGTCCTCATCCAGTCCCGGTCTATTCGCCAGCCCCACCATATGCAGCACGTCTCCAATCGGATAATCCTCATAGACGTGATATTTACCATTATAATATTGCGTATCCATTATTATCACCACGTAGGCTGACATCGATATCTGATAGCACATTGTGCGCGGCACTATACAGACCTGAAATTAATTTCAGGTCATCTTTAACATCACAACAATAAATTACAAACCCAAAATTAAAAAAATATTAACCTGCACCGCCCCACTCTGAAACAGCTGTTCCACGATGGCCATATCCTTCGCACTCGTGCCCTCGTGCAGGAAACCAACTCCACACGCCAACGTCTCTTTTAACGTCTTATCCTTCAATTTTTTAAACATTATATATAATAAACAATCAATAACGACAACCTGGAATTAATTCCAGTTGTAGACCTGAAATTAATTTCAGGTTAAAAACAAAAAACCCCACCTGAACAGCCTCGATCATCTTCACAAACGTCGGTTCCGTCGGATTTATGTGTAAAAATCTTTTCGGCTGCGAATCCGCGTGCGCCATCGTTAACATATCCACCGCTGTCGATCTGCAAAATATTATTTATTACAATATATAATAATAAATAACAATAACAAATAATAATAAATAATAACAATAATAATAAATAATAATAAAAATAACAATAAACAATAAAAATAATAACATAACAAATAAAAAATAACCTCGACTGCCTCCTACTCGGCACGAACACCAGTGCCGGACGTGGTCTCAGCTTCCCTCCATGCCGTCCGATAGCCGAATATACCGGTCGGGACATTGCCGCCAACCGAGACGCCGTGTGGGACAGGTTAAAGCCCTGAAATAATAATAATTAATAAATAATAATAAATAATAATAAACAATAAAAAATACTGAATAAAACATAATCAGACCCAAATAATACCTGAATAAACAACTCCAACGGCACCGGTCTGCAGTTCGGAGCGAAATTAAAAGTGGTCTGTGACGAGCACCCGAGCCACTGCCCCAGGTCACGAGCATTTGCCAACGAACTCGACAGAGCCACTATACGTACCGGGGTGTCCAGCTGAGAGGACATATAACGCATTCGAGAGCAGATCACCTCCATCACCGGCTAAAACATCCAATTTTTTATTATTTATTATCCAATTTTTTATTATTTACTAGATTATTACCTGGATTAATTACCTAGATTGATCCAGGTAATAAACTAGTAAATAAATAAATAAATAAATAAATAATAGTAATAATAAATAGTAATAAACCGGATTTACCTGGTTCCAGTTTATAAATAGTAATAAACTGGATCCAGGTAAATCCAATTTATTACTATTTATTATTACTATTATTTATTATTACTAATTTATATTATTACTATTATTACTATATTTATTTACTATTTATCATTATTATTATTATTACACAATAACTACGATAAATTTAAACAGAACTGTAATAATATAATAAAAGTAACAATAATAATAACAAATAACAATTAAAAAGTAACCCACCCCGCAACTCGCCCCAATCATATGCAAATCGTCCACAATAAACAACTTCACCGCCTGCACGTTCTTCCTCTGCTTCCAACGTCTGCTCACGTTATCCCATCTGTTATATTTACTTATTACTATTATAATAAATAACAATAAATAATAATAATAACAATAAATAATAATAATAAATAATAACAATAAATAATAATAATAAATAATAATACTAAACCGCACCTCTCCGGACTCGCTATAATCAGCTTCCCCCTCTGCAGTAACTTCAGGTCAGTCGACGGCTCGCCCGTCAGCAATACCACCGTCTTATCCAACACCGTTCCAATACGCTCTTGCCAGTCCGCGAATATCTTTAAATTATTATCATTAATTAATAATAATAAATAATAACAATAAATAACACTAAATAATAATAAATAATAATAATAAATAATAATAAATAACCTTCTCAGCCATATCCTCCATCGGCGTCACGAACACTGCCTTCGAATCGGGTTTATTATCGAAATGTCTTAAAATCGCCAACTCGGCACACACCCTCTTACCACTGCCATGCGGTGCTCCAATGAATACATTCTCGTTGCTTTCGTATACCGTTCGGAACACTGCAATGTTTATTTTTATTATTATTATGTATATTATTATAATATATATAATTATTATTTATATATATTATTATATAAACATTACTATTATACATAAATATTATTATTATACACATAACTCATTCTTATATATCACTATCATTACCAATCATTATTATTACTACTTTTATTATATAGCTGCAAAATTATTTCCGTCCGTAAACTGCAGCTATATTCCCTTCCTTCTACTCTCTTCCAACCTCACAAACTCACAAAATTTTCGCATTTTTCCTCGTTCTCACAAATAAACAAACAAGTAAACAATAAAAGTAAACAAGTAAACAACAAAAGTAAACAAACAAACAACAAACGTAAACAAGTAAACAATAAAAGTAAATAAGTAAACAACGCACCCTGTGTCTGTATCGGATTGAAAACATTAATATTCTTCTGTTCGAAAATCGACTGAAACTGTTTATTATTCAACGCAGATATGGGCAATGGCTGCAGGTCGAGTAGTTCAGTTGGGGGAGGGTATTTCTCTGGCAGTATTAGGTGACGGAACGAGATCGGTAACACCGTCTCACTGCCCAACCAACGGTCTGACACTGAAATAACAATTACTTTAATTAACTAATTAATCAATTAACTAATTAACTAATTAATTAATTAATAAAACAAACCAATTCGAATGAAATAGAGCGGCGGCATCGGGTCGAACACGGGCACGAACATCTTCACCTGATGTTCATCCTCGCAAAACTTCTGCTTCAATAAAAAGTACTCGTGATGCAATATCAACTCCCCATCCACATCCTCCACGAAGATCCAAAATCCTTCCGCGTTACCTTAATTATTATTTATTATTAATATACAATAATAATATACATAATAATAAATAATATATAATAATAAATAATAACAATAAATAACAATAAATAATAAAAAATAAAATGCCCACCATGCACCCTCTCGTCCCACTGAAAGTCTGGTGTTATCGTCAACTCGATTCTCAGCGTCGACCGCGTTATCGGCTGTATCAACGTTGTCAATTCCAGTTTTGGTAACTGAAATTAATTAATTAATTATTATTTTAATTAATTAATATACATATACATTATTAATATACATAATAAAAAATAACCACCTGTCTAATGAATTTATACAACGGTTTGCCCATTTTCGGCATTTTGACCAACTCCCCGAGCTGGTGTTGATCCAGATCGTATAACCGTTCGAATGCGTAATTTTTCTTGTCTATACTGCGCACCACCTAAAAATTATTATTTATTATTATTAATATTAATTAATTATCAATTAATTATTAATATTATTATTACTATTACACTTAATAATTACTATTACTAATATTATTATTACTATTATTGGAATCAGTAACAATAATAAGCAATAATAATTATTATTAATTACTATTCAGCAATAATTATTATAATTATTAATTATCAATTATTATTCACAATTATATAATTAATTATTATTAATTATCAATAATTAATTAATAATTATTATTCACCTCCTGTGGTATCTTCTTGAATTGATGCAACGGGTTCAGCGATTGCCATTGTCTTGTATTCACCATTTTACAAACACTCAATACCTTCTGCAACAAATAATACAATAAATAACAATAATAATAAATAATAATAAACAATAATAAATAATAAAAACAGTAAAAATAAATAATAAAAATAACAATTAACCTGCGACAGGTGTGCCCACCCCCTCCACAAGACAATCTCAAACAACGCTCTGAACAATCGCCCAGCCGACTGACTTATAAATACCATATCACTTTGCAACGCGAATCCATCCAGCTTCAACTGCGATATATAAGCCTGAAATTGAAAATTTTTCACAATTTTTTCAATTTTTTAAAAATAAAATTACCCACCCCCTTCAAAACCTAAAATCAACCCCCCCCCCTAAGCCAAAAAAACTCCCGATTCCCAAAATACCCCCTCAAAAATGTCCAAATTACCCCCCCCTCTCTTACCCTATTAAATCCGCTCCTCTTCCAAACCCAAACTCAAACCAAAACCATGACCACAATCAATCCACCTCCTTCTCCTATCAAACATCCAAAATACCCCCCACCCCAAATTAAACTATTTCAGTCTATCCTAAAATTAAAATATTCCATCCTGAAATCAAAATAATTCATCCTGAAATTACATCACCAAAACACCCATACTCACCTGTAACAGCACATTAACCTTGGCACTACTCTCCTCGAGACTCTCCTTAATAGGCACAGGCACGTGCTCAGCGAGTTTCTGCAGTTCCATCTTCTCCTCCTCCCTCACTCCGATG